GAAAGATGCGGGTAATTGCATCGTTAATGATAATGACGATTCGGTCGGGGAGTGATAGATGAAAGATAGCGCGGTGTATATATCGGTTGATTTTCTTGTTTTTAGGATATTTTATCAATATTTGTGGGCTGATCAAATTGGTTGGCGAGTGAGATCTAGCAAGCAATCTAGCAATCGAGTGTTTTCTTTTCTTTCTTTGTACGTTTCGCGAATGAGAAAGAGAGAGTGGAAAAAAATAAAATTTAAAATGGAATTTTCAAGCTTAATACTAATTATCCTTTCATATTTTTTTTATTCACTTTAACTAATTGTAATCGAAAAATTTCATTCCGAATTAATTTACCATTCCCTCGATTTACGTTTAAATATGTTTAAACATCACAGTGCCCGATTACACCTGGTCGATTCTCTCCTCCTTTTCTCGACGGTTGACCGATATATAAAGAGATTCGAATCCAAAAGCAAACGAAAAAGGAAAAAAGAAAGGGAGCGTTTCGGTTCGAAGTTTGCGCACAATGAAGAGACGGCGGTGCTGGTCCACCAGCAGGCATATTTTTCAATGGGCCGTGGCCGCGATACTCTTCTCGAAGCGGCGATACGTGCCAAATCGTGGAAAGGGGTTCGGTATTATCGAAAACGATCGGACGTAGTATTGTATCGCGACGCGGGTCGCTCGTGACCCGATGATGGACCGATACGGGGGAGCAACCTCGATATCCACCGTGTTATTAGGCAGGACAAAGGGATCCATTGTGAGAGGAGCGACCGCCATCACGGTGGACAACTCGAAGGAAAAGACGAAGGAAGGCGAAATATGCTTGAATTGATTATTAATTAACCGATCGGTCTTAAAATGACGTCTCTGCGAATGTTGAAAATACAAATTTTATCGTGTTTGTGAAATTATCAACTATTTCGAGTGTCTTTTTACTTTTTTTTTTTTAGTCGATCGATTTGTAGAGAAATTTTAAGCAAAGTCGAATTGTTAGATTAGAGTAGATTCTTCCATACGAAAAATAATAATAATAATAATAATTTTCCGGTTCGATAAAGCTCTCCATATCGCGAGGAGGAGGAGGAGGAGGCTGCAGAGTTCCAATATAAAACTTTTCTCGATCGGGAACTTGGACCGCTTTAATTAGCGTTAATTCATCACGTACTATCGAAAAAGTAATTACAATTTGCAAACAGGATCCGGGTTTAATACGTAAAATCGAAGCAGAATTTTGCCAATTTTTTCGTGGTGATTCATCGGTGTAATTTCTGATGAAATGAATACAGAAAGAACTGAAAAAAAAAAAAAAACAAGTTGTTCGTGAAAAATTGAATGAAAAACGATTGGGAAAATATATTTGCATTCCATGGGATCCAGTTGACGTACAGAAAATAGTTTATATTCGATTAAAAATCGCGTATCGGTATCGAGAATATTTTGATCTTTCTTAAGGAATATACATATTGCGAACGAGATGGTTTCTCTCCTATTCTGGAAAAGTTAACGATAACAAATTAAATCGATCGTGGAAAGCGATTAAAATCGCTCGATCTCGAGGAACGAAAGCGAATAAATCACGGTGAAAAATGCTATCTTTCGTTTCAAAACGTTCGATCGTTTTGCTAGTCAACTCTTGAAAATTGATTGGTGGATTTCGTAGACGATTATTCGATTAATAATTATTCTCTAAACGTGAAACGATCAATTGTTTTCCCAAGAAAATAATAATTAATCCATTTAACGGATAGAAAATATTAATCTATATTCGAAATGTTAAGTTTCACCAATCTCGTATTAGTAAATAAATAAAAGTATAGACTTTTGAACTTCTTTAGAAACGGTTTGTTAGATCGCAAAAAGTTGAAGATGGAAATGCAAAAAAGATTATAAGGTATTTACAGCGGGGGAATTGATTAATTTTATTCGTCAAATAAAGGCAAGTAGAGAAGGAGAATCATTCAACATACGATTGTCTAATTTATAAGAAGAAGATAATAAAAATATTAATGAATCAATTCGTGAAAAAGTGAAAAAAAAAAAAAAAAAAAAAAAAAGGAAAATAACACGTGTACGTCATTAACTACGAATATTAATTCGATTTAATGGCCAATAACACCGTCGTCGCCGTAAGAATCCATCGTGATGGGGAATCATGCATAACATGCATTTCCGTGAGGAAATTTAATATTATCACCAGACGTAACAATTACTCGCCGCGCTGCCAATTTATCACCGTCATCACCGCGAGCGGCATCACGAGATATATTTTCGCAAAATATATACACCGCCTTTATTTCCACTGATTTTTTTTCTTCTTTTTTTTTTTTTTTTTTTTTTTCCATTATCGATCGTCGATAATTTTTCATGTCGGACAGTCGCTCGTTAGTCGAGGCTTAACTGTAGTTGAATTGATACAAATTGCAACAAGGCCGAAAACCTGTCCGACGAGTGACGAATGATCGTTCGATGGTAGGCGGAGAAAACAATTCTTGCTACACTTAAAAATATTACGTCAACCCTAATTTCACCCTCCGTCCACGTGCAAGCTTCGACCATCGTTCGGCTGTCGGATTATCGTGGATAATCGGTGGAGACGTTCGATAAGTATATTCCTTGAGATTTGTTTGTCGATCGATTCCTCGACTCAAAGAAGAATTTAATGTAAATCTTACGTTTTATTTTTACAAAAGTCGTAATTTTGATATACATATAAGATTTAACGTAAAATATCGAAGATTCCTTTATTTCATATTTCTTTATTCCTTTCGATGAGAGATCTAATTTTTACGATCTTTCGATCCGCGATGAACGTTTTTCATTCGTTGACGTGTACAAATTTTTGAAAGGAAGGAGATAGAATTTATTAATTAGAAGAAGAAGTTTTTTTTTTTTTGTTCTGATAAATTGTCATTCTCAAAAATAACGAATGTTCTCGTTAATTTTACTACGATCATTTTATTAACGAATTTTTAACGATTTTTTTTTTTTTTTCATCATAGTATCGTATGATTTAAGAGCCTTATGAAAATACGAGAGAGAGAGAGAAAGAGAGAGAGAGGAGAGGAAGAAAGGAAACAAGATTTTCAAACGGCAGGGGACGAAATCAAAATATTATTTTGCCGTGGAAAGTACAGAATACACAATATCGGAGGAAACTTTCCGGGAAGTCATAAATCCGTGCGGAGGACAGATATTAAGAAAAAGTAAGAGAACTCAGCAGGGGTCTCGATGGAATAGCGAATAGTGTCGTTTCTTTGCCAGGCTACGTGTTTGATTTCTTGCTCAAAAACATGTTTTTTCGCAAATCGTAAAATATCGCTCGAATAAAGACGTTACAAATGGCGTCATTTGTAATAACGCGGATAAATCAAAAAAAAAAAAAAAGAGAAACTTACTTTAACAAGCAAAAAAATTCAATTCTTGTAGACGAAGAGAATTAAAACGACGAGACATCATGATCGTTCTCAAAAAATTATTCGAACGTTTTATTCATTTAAAATTCTTGTAATTTTATCAGAAGAAATTTCTTTTTTCAAAAGATGGATCAATTGCCAGCAGATTCGAAGCATTTTTTCGAACATTTAAAATTTGTTATACGATGAACAGTGACGGATGATTTTATCATTTCATTAAAGATAAATACCTTCTGATTAAAATCTTCTGATCCGGACATGTATTAATACCGCAAGAAATAAATAGCGACTCGTCGGTTGGTTCGTTGATTTCTTGCGAGTCACGAGCTCGTCGTGGAGGGTAAAAAAAAAAGTCGATCGAATCGATTATCGATAAGCTGATTATCGGCGGCCAGCGTTTATCGAATCTTTATTACATGCTCCAACGACCCGGCAAAGTAGAAGTTTCACGGGTGCTTAATTGAAACATGATAACAATGAAAACAATTTTTTCCAAATATCCTCCAAGCAATTTCCACGATTTCCGTTTAATCGACTTTTCAATGCTTTCTCCAAAAAACGTGTCTTTCTCAATTACTATACGGTCTGGTATTTTCTGGTTTTCGACAAACAAAAATTGTTTTCTTTATAATCATGATAAAAAATTGAAACGTTTCCAAAAAATTTTTTTATTCTTCTATTAATAGCGCTTAATTAAAATCAACGAACAAATGGACGGATTAGAACACGAAATCTACTGGTGATTCATTGCTGGAGAACAAGATAAACATTCCTATTCCTACTTGCGAACAAACGTATTCAAACGCGTATCTCGAAATTCGGCAAAACCAACGAGGAGATATCACTCGAACTATCTTTCTGCGAATTGTTGTTGCTGTTTGAACGGTGGAGAAGAAGAAAGAACAGCCGAGGGGGAGAGGGTAATTTCCACGTAGAAGAAACGAAGCCTGGTCGCGTTTCATCGAGTGCACGCTTCGAAATAATGAAAATTGTTACACGCGACCGAATGAGAAAGCCAAGGAAAAATAATAATAAATTGCCTTCCACTTTTTTTTTGAATCGATGCATGCGTTGATTTTCTTCTTCTTGAGGAAAAGAGTGAAAATCGATAGATGCAGCAATTGGATACAGTTATTGGTTAGATTATTAATCATGGTTTTTGAGAGTGATTTTATTATATTAATAATTATTAAATTCTGATCGATACGATATTAATTGCAGGACATGATTTGATGGACGGATATCCCGTTCGTTCGAAAATTGAATTCATAATTCGAAATAATAGATTTCTGTATCATAATAAATCGATATCGTGGATGTTTTTAACTGTTAATTGGTTCGCGTTTTTTTTATAATTTTTCGAAAATTGTATTAATCACAAATTTATTTCGCCAAATTTACACTAATGAAATTGATGGTTGGGATTAATATCGTTGAATATGCGTTTCATCCGTGCTTTATCTAGGATCAGAACGGTTGAAGGTAAGAAAATATTACCGTCTAGGTAGGCTTAAGTAAACGTTTGCCCCCCTCCCCCCCCCTCCTTCATTGTTGCATCCAGCCACTAATTCATTCTCTATTGTCTACTGCAGATCGTCGATACCGGTAAAGGGTCTGGCGGCGGGGTATGAGAAGCTGCGAAATAGGAAGTAGAATAGAAATATCCTTCCGTCGACGTTGGAACAATGGCGTGGATACGCGTTATTTCCGTTACGATAAAAAATTTACGTCGTCAAATGTAAACGATCTGATCTAAAAATAATACAAATCACGAAGCGAGGAAAATTGTAAAGAATTAAGATAAAGTTTACTTCATATAAAGAAGATAGATAAATACGAAGATACATTCGTGGCACACTTTTGGAAGCAAAATTCAATTAAATTTTCGATTTCTTTTTCTCTCTCTCATCTTAATTATCTCTCGACGAAATCTGGTGGCAGTGTCTACGCCACTGTTCCACAATACGGAGAGGTGAGGGACACGCGAGCACGCAGCCCAGACGATCGGTTCTCTCTCGCGAAGAGAGGATGAGACGTGGGAGTGGCTGGCCATTGGCACAGAGTTACGACTCTCGGCCTCGTCATCCGTTACTCGTTTTCCGCTTCACCCTCGTGTGTGTCCACTCCTTTCCTGCCTCTCTGACCTCGCTGCTGGATGGACACGCCTCGCTTTGTCTACCGTGGAACGCGATTCAAACCGCGAAACAGCCGGGGATTGAGACAACTTCCCCGTACAGAGGAGCCGGTTCAAACTATTCCGAGAACCGAGCGTGGAATTCTTTGTCGTCGTAGTTTCCACTGCAATTTTTCCGCCGCACATTCCCTTAAACGACTCGCCGTGGAACAATGCCGGGCTGGCAATTTCGAACTTTTTCGTGGAAAAAATAATTTTCGTTGAAAAGTATCGGTGGGGGAAATTGATCTTCGACAAGGAATGCATCCGATTTTGTCCGAATTTTCTTCTCAAGATTCGTTGTTGAGGATTGTTTTAACAGGAACGGATCGAAGCGAGGTCGTTCCTCTTATAGATCCTTGAACCGATCGATCATAGAATCGAAACCAGTTGGTAGCGGCTCTCGACTATAACTAACTAATGTACCGCCCACGATCCACGTGTCGTATGAGAGGTGATCTCGCGAGGCCGTTCTCTTCTGTGAGAGACAATCGGCGTTTTGACAAAACAAAAAATAGCTGTCCCGCGGCGACGAGAGCGTAGGCGAGTCGATTTCTTTCGAGAAAATCGTACGTACAGGATATTGAAAGAGGATATTCTCTTTCCTGCAGATGGAAAATGACGATCTTCGAAAAATCTGCGCGTGTTAGAATACATTTCGAAAGATAGATGGTGCAAAATGTATCGATAGACGAGTTAAGAGTGGAAAGAAATTGGAAAAATTGGACATCTTTTTCGCGATAAACCGTCATCTTAAAAATTTCCTATTAAATATCATTCCGGAATTTTCTTCCTGCATAAGTTTCTTTTATTCGGTCTAAAATGCTTTGCGCACTTACAACGTCTCGATCGAACTCTTTGCAGATATTCTTGGTTTAGTTTTTGTGTCCTTTATGAACGATCATACAAGGATAATAATTTCAGGTGATAATTTGCAACAAGTCTCGTTGAGAATATTTAAAGTTGATGGTGGATATTGATAAGTAGCATTGAATTTCAAAATGACTACATTTGTACAGAGAAAAGTCTCTGATACACACATCTCATAAAATAGAAAATACACGTGGAGCGAAATAAATTCGGTAAAGGGATATTATTATCAAAATTTAAAAGCAATATCCGCTCCATCGTGGCGAAGAAACTGGCAAAACATGCAAAACCCGGCCAACCATCGATCACGCACCTCTCCAACATTTCCCAAATTAACCCTGCCAAAACCGACTGCCGCAAACACCGAGGTTCCAAGAACCATCCGCAAAATCTACGTTTCGACGAAACAACGCTAACTAAATCACCAATTCTCCCCCCGTATATCAGGCTCGAGAGGAAAACTGATCGAACAACTCGAATCCCGGAGAAACCTGTTTCGATTCTGTTCTTATTTTCGTGTTAATTAATTAACTAGAAGCAAGATAATTAGCGGAATGACACCGATCGAAACGCAATCGATACCTCGTCAACGGACGAAAACACGAACTGATTAATCCTACGTTCGATCGATCCCAATCGAATGAACGTCTTCGTTCCCGCAACGATTAATACGATTACGTCTGCGAAAGTGCGAATAACAGCCCACCAGATTCTCCAGTCTGACTATCCGTGAATAGTTCTGGTCCAGTTTCCGGAATAGCACCGAACGGTTGTTTGGAAATAGTTGTGTACCGTCGCTATTTGCAGCCACTTCTCGACGTCGTAAATGGACCGAGAAAAGATCGGAATGAGATTTGCGGTTTCTAATTTAGAGAAATATAATAAACTTCCAAAATCATCGTTCTTTCTAGCAATGAGAAGGAAGAAGGAGGAAGAAATGTTCAGAAGGAAACGAGTGAATGAATCGAGTGAAAATTTGGCGGGATCGAGAAAAGAATTGCCGGACACGATCATGGATGCCGTCATCCGTGAAATGGTTGACGCAAAGGTGCTCGTCGAACATCACTCGAAATCAGAGAATATCGTCCATCGATTATGAGCAAGAATTGCAGAGAGCATTGACATTCGGTGTCTTTTGCGACGATACAGGTGTGATCGGAGGTTGGAATCGGTGTTCCTTCTTTCAAAGATCGAACGTCGACGATCCGTTGGAACACATCCGGGTCAGAATAGCGGCCGATGTCGAGCGTAAGCCTGGTCGAACCCTGTTTGAAAGAGGGTTTACGGAGGCAGCGAGAGGAACTGTCGATCGATCGTTCGCGGCCGCGGAATTACTGCCAACTCTGTTACGCTGTCCTACAACCACCAACCACCCTTTTCGCTCCCGTCATCGGATTCGTTCGAATCCTCCGCGAAGAGGGATTCCATATCCCCTTCGATCGAAGAGAGGGAGATTAGCTCCATTGGCCAACAATGCCACATTGTGCGCCCTGTATGCGTCCGCATTGCTTCAGGACGCCAGAGAGTGGTCCCTCCATCCCTCTGAAGGGGGAGGAAACAAGGATTGGAGGAGTTGGAATACACCACCTCTCCTTCTCTCTCTCTCGATCGCGATTAATGGAAATCGAAGGTCGGACGGAGTGTTTTTCCACTCGATGGCGAGGATGATAGGGGATGAAACGTTGCTCTCGAGGATGGGAAGGGTTTAGAATTGCGACTTGGATTCGAAAAACGAAGGGACATTGATAAGAGTGAAATTCGAATCGTATATTTAAAAATATCTTCAAGAATCTTTTCCTGCATCTTGGGAGTAATGATTTAAGTTTTTCTACAAGTCCTCCTCGAAAAAAAATTCGCATTCTCTCCTCCTCAGGAAGAGGAAAGTTGGCTGGAAAAGATGGACAGCATCTCCATCCTCGTAATAGGAAATGTTCCTTTAGAAAGAAAGTTCTTGGAAAACTCGTCCCTTTCATCTTGCAGACGAGAGGGAGATTGGAAGAGGATCGAAACGAGAGCGAGAGTGGCCGACCGACTGGTAAATAATCGCGGATGTAGAAAACTAATCTGAGAACAGATTGGATCGAAGGCTCTCTCGAGCTCTCTCGATGACTGGCGGATCGATGATTCTCGTCTGTGAGGCGGCGTGTCGTCAAAGGGTCGCCGGGAATAATTCCATTTTCTCTCCAGACAGATGCCTGGATCCAGGACTCTGTGACGAGTCCGACAAGCCGAGCATAATTCGATGCCTCGCCTCTGATTGGCCATTGTGACCTCGAATCGAATTAACCCTCGTTGTCGTGATTAAAGCGTCCTCTCCCTCTCTTCCCGGGGAAGGGATCCTTGAACTCGAGGGACGAAAAGGACCGGTGTCGATCCCACGAAAATAATTCGCCATTTTAATTGTTCAAAATTTAATCAGAATCCTTGGAATTTCTTCGTCGTTACGATTTACAATTTACAACCTCCCTCCCCGTTTCAAAGAAATTTTTTTTTAAATTTAACATCCTATCCAGTTCAAAAGATTCTTGCGGAGAGTTGCGGATAAACGTTGCAACATTGTCTCGATTAAACGAGCCGGTTATCAACGGTTTTATAAATTAGCATTTATCCACGCCTCGTTTTTATCAACTCGATTCCATTAACCGCTTCCCAATTAAGTTTTGCAAATCGTTTCCCGATTGCGCTTACCTCTCTCGGCCGTGAAAAAAACCTTCCTGTCTTATCGCGGCGCGAATGCTTTTTCGTTCGCCTTTTACTTTTTTTCTTTTTTCTTTTTTCTTCCCCCCCCCCCCCCAACGAACGAACAACCTTTTATCGGAGTGTCGGCGCGTATTATCGAGTTATGGTGCCAGGAAGAGCGAGCACCCACACGTGTACAGATACGCAACACGTTTTCGTTTTCGTTGTCGTTGATGAATCCTGAGAACCTGTCAGAGGTGTCGCGGTTATCGGTCTGTCCTCGAAGCCGATAAGGAATGTAAAGAACTCACGCGCGATGTAAATTTTCGAGTGTGCTCGAGGAAAAAAAATATACATACTTTTTTCTTTTCTTTTCTTTTCTTTTTTTCCACCGATAGCATTATCAAAAATATTTGTGAGGGTAAAAAAGTAATATAAATGTTAGGAAGATGGTTTTCAAGAATCGAATCGCTTCTAACAATTTTCTATTCGCTTCTCTCGCATAAATAAAGGGATTGGTTTGGAAGAAAATTTAATTATAAAAGAAAAATTTTCACTCGAAACAGGCGACAAGAAAGGGAACGATGAATATAGGATTTGCATATAGATAATATTGAAATTTCGCGAAGATGAGAAACAGGCGTCGCAGTAAAATTTTCGAACGTGTTTCACGACGACTATGGATATTAGCATCACAACGAGAAAGAGAGAGAGAGAGAGAAAGGTTGGAGCATCCATTTTTACGTCTCTCCCCCCATCGAATCAGGCTAAAAATTTCCATGACAATACGACACACGGCCGACATTCTATCTTCGGAGACTCGTAGGTGACTCGTGTTATCGAGTTCGATTCCTTTGTGTCGCGGCATACTCGATTTAGTTTGATCGACACGGAATTATTATTTCCATTGGGCGAGCGAGCTTCGATCGCAAATCGGATGACGTGGGTTAACGAAAGGAGGAGGAAGGGAGGGGAAGAGTTAATCTATTTCACGCGGATTATCGTCGATCGAAGTTTTCACGTCTCTAAGAAAATTTCGAAATGAACGAGGCAATAGAAATTCGCTTCGTACGAGGATGTAATTCTCGCGATAAGAATTATTGACAAATTTATGTTGTAAATTGCAAGTCGACGAAAATTAATAAATTCAAAAGTTTATTGTTAGAATATATTTCTCAAAAGTATATCGAATTATTTGTAATTCGAGTTTTTGCGATTTCTAGAATATAAATCGAGGAAAACGTTTCAAATTTTATTATACGATTACAAGAGTAATTCTTTTCGAGAGAATAATGGCGAGGTTTTCAGAGATTTTACGAATAATGCTTTCACTGCGTCACGTGTCCATCTCGCGTATTCCATACAAAATTTTTAACAGCGAGAAACGTTAAAGGAAATAGAGATACGATGGGAAAATAAACAAACAGACGAGATCCATAAAATCAACGTTATAATTATATTTCCTACGATCGTGACTTTCGTTATTCGTCATAAATCTGTAGTGAGAACGTGTCAGAAAGTGCTATTATACATCCGTTCGAGTACCATTTCCGATTGGTAAGTTGGTTATTCTATCGAACTATACTTCGTCAACGACATTAGCAGGATCCTCGTAAAATTTGCCTC